TTTGAGACAAGAGTCCTGTTCTGTTGCCCAGGCTGGAGTGTAGTGGTGCAATTTCAGCTCACTGCAAACACTGCCTCCTGGGTTCAGGCGATTCACCTGCCTCAGCCTCCTGAGTAGCTGAGATTACATGTGCATGCCACCAAGCCCAGCTAATTTTTGTAGTTTTATAGACATGAGGTTTCACCATGTTGGCCAGGGTGGTCTCTAACTCCTGACCTCAAGGATCTGCCTGCCTTGGCCTCCCAAAGTGCTGGGATTACAGGTGTGAGCCACTGCACCAGCCAATACTTATCATTTTTAAGGCAATCGATATTAAAATAGTTACTCACTACCTTGTCTTCCAGGAAATGTAGAGTGACTAAAAAATAATAACTTTTAAAACAAAATTTTAAATTTTGAAATTAGTGAGGTTTCCATTTTCTGTGACAGCTGTGTAACACGGACATGGAGAATCAAACCAACTATTCCAAAGCCTACATTCATTTTGAAGGAATAAGTATCTACTGTCTTCTCCATGAAGTTTTTTTTGGAGTTGTGTTTTACTGGGTGATATACTATGCCACATCTGTATTACTTAATGGAGAGGGACAGAATAAAAATTGCTGCCATTTTTTTCTCTAGAGGAAAATGCCTGTTTTCAATATTGACAAGCATGGAGAAATCATACAATGTTTCTTCACCCCTAGCAGTATGCTAGATGCAGTGGATATCAGGAGTTTACTTTGGGCTAATCTGCTGTGACCATTAATTTTCTAGTTAAATCACACAGTTCTGCCAAAATAATCAATCTTCACCTCTTTCCCTCTCCTTGTCATCTCATGGTAGTAGAAGCACTCCCTGAAATGTAAAATTCACAGCTGAATCAAGAGGTCACAACCTGAATCCCAAGAAATTTGTAGACTATAGAGAAGGAAAAAAATAGTTCCTGGAGGAAGCATAAAAATAGTCACGTTTGTTGAATGTATTTCATATTTCTTATACTCTACATTCCCATGAGAAAGCAATAAGAAGTATAAAACTACAAAGAAAGAGCCCCCCTTTACCTTGTAGTACCTGCTTCCTGTGTCATTTTGAAAGAGGGTAATACATTTGCTATCCAACCTCCAATAGTGACGTTTCCGCTGAAACAGATGTTAGATTCAAGATCTTTAAAAAAAAATAAACTTAAAAAATATCCACGATTGATCAAATAAATAGATTTCTCCAATGGAGACATAAGATTTGAGGGTGGAAAATGCGTGCGCTTTGGAAAAGGCAGACTCACACTCAATTTCAGGCTCTAGAAGTTGACTATTTATCACATGTCTGATACGTATCTGCATTTATGTTAGAGGGTCACGAGTAATAAAGAATATGAAGTACTAGCACCCAGTAAGAGCCTGGAACTCAGAAAGTACACAGTAATAGAAAACACCATTTTTGAGCTTCCTTGACTGCTTAAAGGGCAATGGTGGATGTATAGTCCATAATAAAGTAATGCTTACTAGGAGATGCAATGTTTATTATGCATGGTCATTATTTTAGGACATTTAGGAAATGCCATGCTAATGTTGCCAGGTATTCTCTCTTCCACTGGCAATGGGGAAATTCTGGATGTTAGAGTAGAAGAAAATAATATTTTGTTGGATAGTAATTTTGATTCCATGACATCAACTTAAAGTCAGGGGAATGCATCAGACAACCAACTCTACCTTCTCTCCAGCTCCCCACAGATCTGACCACAACGATTTGGTGATCAGGTCCTTCTTCATTGTAGGTATATCTTTCCGGATTTTAGGGTGTGTGTGTATTTTACCTTATAATAGACTGAAAAGCTCTATTATTATTCTCTTCCACAACAGATTTTAGAGCAGTGAAATATATTAAATATATTACACCATGTCTAAAAAAACTAGGCGGTAGCCAATTGAGCCCTATAATATCATGTAAGTCTTCTCTTTCTAACAGAGATGGTCAAAATTATAGTTAGATCAATTAGGTTATAGATGTCTATTCATCTACAGTGATTCTACAGGTAAGAGATGAGAAAGCAATACAGTAACAGAAATCAGCCAATGTCAATTTAACTTTTAAATGTGAATCAAGGTTGTTCTCTCTTACATACATACACAGCATAATTCATCAACTATTAGGAAAATCTGGAGATGTGAACACTCAGGATGCAGGCTTAAAATGTTCCTGAATGGGCCAGTTCTTCAGTGAAAACTTAATTAAGGATTTAGGACCCTTCCTCCATGACCACATCAGACTCTGCCGCAGGGCTAAGCAAATCTAGAAAACTTTTATCATAACTATCTTATGATAGTTATCACTGTTTTATTCTCTGCCTAGTATGCAGTGTTCCTTTTAAAATTCTAAATCACAGTAGAGCATTCTGAAAGCACATGCTGTGGCTTCCACAAATGCTATAAAATGACAAGTAGACATCTCAGGTAATCAAGGTCAATGAATTTGTTTGCCTGAAATTGCTTTCCACATTTTTTTCCTGACTTCGTTGCTTGCTCAACTATATCTGTCACCCAGGGACTGTAATGCACCCTACCTAATCCTGTGCCATGCCTGTGCTGAGGTTCACTCTGAGTAATGCAGGTATCTCACAGTCCTCACAGGGCACTGGCAACTCCTCTAATTAACGCTAGCAAGGCAAGAGAACATTGTTTCCTCCTCTAATTAAACCTAGCAAGGCAAGACAACATTGTTCCCGAGGATCTTACCAATGTGTCCTTGCTGGTGTAGTGGACCATCCATCCTTCTTTCATGACTGTGCTGCTTTTCCTCTTCGTGTGTTTGACAGACTGCACTACCCTCATGAGTGGGATATTGTTGCTTGTTGATGGACTTAAGAAGTCAAAATAGTGTAAGAGAAAAATATTTTCAGGTACATTTTCTGTATTTTCATGCATAAAGTCTTATGACAGCCAATCCAAAGTGAAACTTTACAAAAATTCACACCTCATTTTTAGTACAATGTATTGTCGAGCACTATGGTTCTGAAAGTGGGTTAATCTGAAGAATGATAGGCACTTTATTTGTACACCTTAAAAAATCCCAAGGCTGGGTAATAAGCACCTCATTTTTCTGAGGTCACACTATTCAGAATCACATATAAAAGCTTATTTGCTTATTTATTTCATATTATAGGTACATTATCAGTCACTTAGAGATTACATTATTCAATATGAATTTTAGTTTCTCTGTATAATGTCATAAAAATTGGAATCTGCAAGTCTCTGTTTCTTCCTCTTCATCCCTTCTTCTTCACCTCCCTCCCCACAACATGAATGAATATATATATATATATATATATATATATTTATATGTAAGTTCATATATATATTTATATGTAAGTTCCCCTGCTTTCCCCGCCATGCAAACTCTTTGGTACTAAAGAAATGTATGTCTTCAAAAGACAGGTGATAAGACAATTATTTCTCACTACTTTAAAAATGTTTATTATGCCATTAAATGGAAAACAAACCAATCATTTTATTGCTCTACTCTCAGGAACAATTTGTTTGTCAATAAACATGGCATTTGCAAAATGGACACAGAAGTTTCAATATGCTTTATAATATAAATCAGAGACTGGGAAACATCTTCTGTAAAGGGCCAAGTAATAAATATTTTAGTTTTTCCAAAATACCAAACTTTACCAATATAGTGCAAAAGCAGCCAGAGACAATATGAATGGGTTTAGCTATATTCCAGTAAGACTTTACTACAAATTGGGCAGCAGTCCAATTTGTCTTGGTGGCCATATTGTGCTGACTCCTGATATAAAAAGTGGGGATCATCCAGTAACTAAAACCACAGATAATTAGATAACAGAAATAAAATTGCACATACTTCTGAAATAATATCAAGAACAGTGAAGTATATACAAACTATGATATTTGTAACAGGGGCCAGCTAATAAAATAAATGGTTTCTGCTAAGTTGGATCCTTGATCTTTGTTGTTTCTACACAATGAGCTTCTAATTAAATATTAACTTAGTAATAAACTTGTGGATGGCAAACATGAGTATCTCTCACATGCAAAAGAAAATGGGTCAATGAATGAGGTGATGCTAGGAAAAGATGGAAACCACACTTCTCCCAGGGAACCCATACTTCCTAACTTCAAAGGCTCTCATCTACAGCACACAGTTCATTCATAAGAAATTAAACTTCACATTTCTGCTATATTCAATAAAAATATCAAAGAAGTTAAAAGAGAAAATACCACTTGTGGTCCCCCTGTTGGCTGAGGCTGGGAGTGCTGCTCTCACCTGATGGTTCTGTTGGCATCCTCATGGTCTGGGTCTGGGTCTTGCATCTCCCCACTCTCGTTCTGGCACTCTGCCATTGACATCTCTGCATCTTGGACCATTGCTTCTTCCATGTCATCCATGAGCCCACTGTTCCTTTCACTATCATTGTCATCACTTCCTTCTTCCATGACCACATCAGACTCTGCCCCAGGGCTAAGCAAATCTAGAAAATTATTTTGACCCATAAAGATAAGTCTGAAATCTTGGAGCCAGGGCTTAAGAGACAGTCAGGTGATCCTAAAACAAATCATTTGGAAGCCCCAAAATGTTAGTTCTGTGAAGAGTTTCTTTCCTCGTTTTTTGTTTTTTAACTTTTAAGTTCAGGGGTACATGTGCAGGTTTATTACACAGGTAAACTTGAGTCATGGGGGTTTGTTGTACAGATAATTTCATCACCCAGGTATTAAGCCTGGTACCCATTAGTTATTTCTTTCTGATCTTCCCTCCTCCCACCCTCCAACCTCAAAGGGTCCCAGTGTGTGTTGTTCCCTACTATGTGTCCATGTGTTCTCATAATTTAGCTCCTACTTATAAGTGAGACATCTGGTATTTGGTTTTCTGTTCCTGCATTTGCTAAAGATAATGGCCTCCAGATCCATCCATGATTTTCAATTTCCTTTTTTATTTCAGTTGATAAGTGTCTCAATTTAGGAGAGATTGAATATGTAATGTCATAGGTAGGTGCTTGTTTTCTGTGTTCCTAAGCCTGAAAACATGAAAAGTCATGAAAAGCCTTGGAAGGAAGCCCAGGCTGAGATAGAAGCAAAATGCTAGAAGGCAAAGTGATACCAGGCCCAAGTGACTGGGAAGCCGATCATATTTTAGAAACACAGCTCTGGTGGGGAAAAAAAAAAAGGATATAAGAGGATGACAGAAACTTTCACACGAAAAAAGATTCAAGCCACTGATTCTTACTATTGAAGTAAATTTTTAAATTACGAATTCCAATATATTAAGTTGGTCACATAGCTACAGCTTTTAAATACTAAGACATTTGATATCTGAAGTAATATTGAACAGTCATTATATAGTTGATGGTAATGCTAAAAATTATAATTACTAACTAATGCAAAGTACCCATTTTAAAATTAAAATATAGATTAATGAGAAACCCTAGCCTGCCAAGCTTGGAAAATTCATATTTTACCAGATTTTTCTGAATGTATGAGAAAATACAATTTCAAAGTAATCGACAACATCAAAAACTGTTCTGTTTCTCCTTAGTTATAGTTATCAAGTAGACACTGACATTCACTGAGCCTGAACAAAGTCAACACCACATGCCATAGAAAGTGGGAAGATCGCCAAGCTTTCAATTTTGGCAGCTAATTCATGAATCTCCAAGCCAGAAACAAGTGCGAGAATGTTTTCCTGGAGAGTTCTTTCTTTTTCTTCTTTTAGGCACAGCATATATTTCTTCTAGAGAAGAAAGTTCTAGAGCAAAAATATTCATTCTTCAGCTTTTTAGCAACAAAAATACTCAACTTGTTTCTGTGGTCTTTTAGAGCCATTTTTCTTTCCAGAGGAACTGGGAAACTGGTATCAGGCTAAAGGTATACAGAAGACAACTATCCACAGAGAAAACTAACCTGAGATTCTAAGTCAAATATTTTGGTAGTGCTTGAAATAAAAAGGGCAGAGGAAAAGAGACTGAGAGCTGCAACTTATAGGCATCCCAACAACATCCACATTTCTTGACAAACTAGGTTAAGAGTATAAGATAAGAAAGCTGGGAAATAAATTATGGCTACCCAAGTTTTCAATACTAGCTGTTCACCATGTAAAGATCATGAAAGGCTCTTTGATGGTTATCAAAGCTCCATGGATGCTTTTCTATAGTAAAGAAGAACAAACAAAGGCCATAATTTACTTTGGACTGTGTCTGAAATATCTGAAGCAAAACCCAAACCAAAACCAGAACCAAAACCCCTGACTAAAATCATCACCCCCACACTCTCTAATAGGGAAGAAGCACAGACGTGACAGCTGATCTTTTACCTACCTCCATTAATGGTCACTTCACCAAGGCAGTTGTTTGGTACTTTTGGTGCACAACGTTTATGGCAGTTGAATCTGCAATCTAATCCCAATGATTTCAAATGAAACAAAATGAGAATTTGTCAGAAAGAGAAGTAGTAACCAGAAAATGGTTATGTCAGATGAATGAAGACAATTAAAGTTCCACTGGTGACAAAATCATTCTTACCTTTGCACTGCAAGCCCTGCCTGAAAAGCCCCTTCAGAAGCTTCTTGCAGTACTGGCACACTGTGGGCCGGGTGTAGGAGTGGATGACGAATGTGTGCGGCACTTTAACTTTAGACATCAAAATCTTGTCAAGTTGAATTGGTCGCCCAATGTATGATTGAGAATTTGACCTCTTCTCTCGACCAATATACGACTCTGATGGTGACTTCTGCTACATTTTGAAAAACAGTAAAAGAAGTCAGATATAAGAGGCCATTTGATTTATATACCTATACATTTTAAGATCTGGGTTTACTCTTGTACTTAGTACTTTGATGCTTATTAATATGAAAGAAATAATGCTATACTTCTGTTAATTAATATAATGTACTTCCTTTCCCCATTTCTATTTGAGTTACCTTGCTTATATAACAACAACAAAAGAATTGGAGATCAGAATATTTAAACATGATTTCTAGGTCTTTCAAATATGCTTTTGCTTTAAAAAGGTCATTTTAACACAGAAATATAAAGTTGGAGACAAATAAACACTGTAACATATTATATCGTTGACATTTTCCACAGTATTACATGCACATAGTAAATACAGGCATTGAAGAAAAACAGAAAATAAAAAGTAAATGCCTTCTGTTTGCCCTACATGGTACTTCATTGAAAAAATGCCATAGTCCCAGCACTTTCGGAGGCTGAGATGGGCATATCATTTGAGGTCAGGGGTTCAAAACCAGCCTGGCTAACATGAGGAAACACCATCTCTACTAAAAATATAAAAATTAACTGGGTGTGGTGGCTCATGCCTGTAATCCCAGCTACTCAGGAGGCTGAGGCAGGATAATTGCTTGAACTTGGGAGACAAGAGGTTGCAGTGAGCCAAGATTGCACCACTGCATTCCAGCCTGGGCGACGAGAGTGAAACTCTGTCTCAAAAACAAACAAACAAACAAACAAAAAATGCTTACAGTTTCTTTGGATTCCCTAAAGAAAAAAAATAAATATAATTTAAAATTTTTACTCAACCATATGAACAATAAAGATTTTTATTACTGAAAACAGAACTAATATACTATACAAGGCATACAAAAATGGATGTTTGGATATAATTATATCTCTGTGCACTTTTGTCCATCATTTTGGAATTAATCAGCAGAGCATATAGATTCTTAAAAATTAAACTGACTAAAATTAACTGTGTTTTCAATGTTTTTGGATAATTTCATAACTCTTGTATCCTGGGATATATTTGAGAATTATCAGAATTATGTATTTTAGAATCAGCAGAATAAGATCAACCAAATTACTTTTGAATTGTTGTTATAATTGTATATCTCATTTACATATCTCAGTTACTAAGCTCCTCCTCTATAGCAATAACTGTGTTAGGTGCCTTAAAACATGGGCTTTATTATCTACAGTTGAAGTATCTAAGCTTATAAAGTTTAAATATATACCTTTGGGTCAAATGCTAGTAAATAGTGGAACCAAAATGTGAACCTACATTTGTTTGCCTCCAGAGCACTTATTTTATCATCAATCTCAGTTAATTTCTAATTTGAAATGATTGCTGATAAGGCAAGCAATAAATTATATTTACATACAATTTCCAGCCCTTTCAATCCCTATCTGCATCAAAAGGTTAAATGCTATTACCAAAAGTGAAAAGTATGATTTGCAGATTTACTAGCTACGGTAAAAAGAAACTTAAAATGAATTTCTACACAGGAATATTAGGCCTACAGTTATATTCACAAGTACAATTCCATAAAGAAAAACTGTAAAGCATAATTATTCTGGAAAGGTTCAACTCTTGCAGAGAAGTCTAAGGAGACTATTAAAGTAGCCAAAGGTTTGCCAAACCAGAATCATGAAAATATTGAAAAAAATGCCTTCAATTGAATTAAATAATAATTAAGTCAACAGGGTAAGGTCCCTGTTCCAGTGTCCTTTAGAAACTGTAGCCAATGGGCCAGTTTTAAGCATAGACGAAAATGAAAATGTTATTTTTCCATAGTTGGAAAGTTTTAACACTCAGAATAAAAGATAACCTAATGTCACACTTTCTTAGCAGACTTAAAATGTTCTCAGATTTTGAAAATCCTATGAAAAGCTGGCCAAATCACTGTCAGTCAATTTCCTTAATGTAAGATACCTAATTCTAGGCTGTGCTAACAGAGCCAGTTTGACATTTACCATACCATGGTGCAAATTCATCAGAAAAGCAAGAGGGAACCTAGTAGACTGAATGTTTTCCTTTCATCCAACATAAACACTGCCATAAGCTACAAGAACTAGAATTACTTTTAAGCAGTCATTTCATTTATTACCTTCAAGGCAAGATTATGTAAGAAATTTAAAAATCTTCCATGTTTAGGCAAAAGAAATTGGCTGTCACTCTGTAGCCCAGAGACTATGCTCTCCACAAATTCAGGCAATAATGAGATTTACAAAGCCAGCCACGTATGTCCTTGGCACAGAATATGTAAGTTATGGTGTAAACTATATAATTTGTAGTGTCAGAAATTAAGATTTTAATAGCATTAATAAAGAGGGCCCTCATACCATTCATGCCATTTTAAATTTTAAAATCAGATAGCAATCCAACGAGACTTATCATTACCTTTTTTATAGTCCCAAATATAAGTAATCATTTTCAATATGGCCCATTTTTCTAAATGAAAAAGTACAGCTTTACAATCTTGAGACAGGGTGCAGGCATGGTAACTTATCTTGCAGAAATTGATTTACCACTGGAAGGAGATTGCTTGAGTTGTTTAGTTTTACTAGATAACAAACACCTTGGGAAAGGAAGAGTGGAGAAGCTGTTTGAAGTTCCGTTTTCAGTATTTAATTTTATGTTTCTGAGCGTGTACATATACATATTTGCATGTGCTTTCCTTATCATGAGGCAAATCTAAAAAGCGAAAACAAAAGTAAGACTGGGTAATTATCTGATGATTTCCTAAGCACTTATAGGTCTTTTATCCTTCCTTCAATCAAAATGTAAAACTAGGACTTTGTTGATATATAATGGGTTATATATAATATATATTATATAATATACATATATTAGTATATATATATATATATATATATATATATATATATATATAAAACAAATGGCTATGAAAAAAGGCCATTACCCTGTAATATATATCGTTATTTGTCTAAATGTTTAAGGCCCATCATTTCTGTAATCCTGCCATAATTCCTTTAAACAAATTTTTAATGATGTTATCACAAACTAAGACCTAAAGATTTTCAGAATCAGTGACACATTTTGTCATTAATAATTAATAATCAGTTATTTTAAGCAAAAACATAACATTTAAATTATTATATGAAGTTTTATGTGAACGCATGTACGCCATAAAGCATAATTACAGTGTTTTTTGTTTGATACATCAAGCTACTGAGCAGGCCAAAATTCAGAAATTAATAGTTTTCAAGGATATTATAATTTAAAAAAAAAAATCTCACTGATCTTTGGACTTTAAGATGCTTTCCACAGGAAACTAGATAATAATTCAAATCATAATGCAGACAGAAATAATTGGAGATGTTTGCATGAAATACATTATTATACAAAGTAAAGAGATGTCATTATATATCAAGTTTATATGTTATAGAAATTTTGTTTATTATACATAAATAAAACTCAAATTCTTCATTAACTTACTTCATTTTCTTGGCTTACTTGTATATTTAACTAAAATGTGCACAGGACTTTAGAGTTTTAAATAACACCGCTCTTTAATGTTAACTATAATAAAGAAAAAATTCTTCCTTACCCATCAACACTATTGAAGATTTTTAAAAATTATTATTATTATACTTTAAGTTCTGGGGTACATGTGCAGATCGTTCAGAATTATTACATAGGTATACACATGCCATGTTGGTTTGCTGCATCCATCCCCTGATCATCTACATTAGGTATTTCTCTTAATGTTATCCTTCCCCAATTCCCCCACCCCCTGCTCTTCCTCCCCTAGCTCTTCCACCCCACCAACAAGCCCCAATGTGTGATGCTCCCCTCCCTGCGTCCATGTGTTCTCACTATTCAACACCCACTTATGAGTGAGAACATGTGGTGCTTGGTTTTCCGTTTTTGTGGCAGTCTGCTGAGAATGATGATTTCCAGCTTCATCCATGTCCCTGCAAAGGATATGAACTCATCCTTTTTTATGGATGCATAGTATTCCATGGGGAATATGTGCCACATTTTCTTTATCCAGTCAATTATTGATATGCATTTGAGTTGGTTTCTAAGTCTTTAGTATTGTAAACAGTGCTGCAATGAACATACATGTGCATGTGTCTTTATAGTACAATGATTTATAATCCTTTGGGTATATGCCCAGTAATGAGATTGCTGGGTCAAATGGTATTTCTAGTTCTAAATCCTTGAGGAATTACCACACTGTCTTCCACAATGGTTGAAGTAATTTACAATCTCATCAACAGTGTAAAAGTGTTCCTATTTCTCCACATCCTCTCCAGCATCTGTTGTCTCCAGGTTTTTTAATGATCACCATTCTAACTGGCATTAGATGGTATTTCAATGCGGTTTTGATTTGCATTTCTCTAATGACCAGTGATGATGAGTTTTTTTTCACGTTTGTTAGCTGCGTAAATGTCTTATTTTGAGAAGGGTCTTTTCATATCCTTCACCTACTTTCTGATGAGGTCGTTTGTTTTCTTCTTGTACGTTTGTTTAAGTTGTTTGTAGATTCGGATATTAATCCTTTGTCAGACGGGTAGAATACAAAAATTGTCCCATTATGTTGGGTGCCCGTTCACTCTAATGATAGTTTCCTGTGCTGTGCAAAAACTCTTAAGTTTAATTAGATCCCATTTGTCTATTTTGGCTTTTGTTGCCATTGCTTTTGGTGTTTTAGTCATGAAGTCCTTGCCTATGCCTATGTCCTGAATGGTATTGCCTAGGTTTTCTTCTAGGGTTTTTATGGTGTTAGGTCTTTTGTTTAAATCTTTAATCCATCTGGAGTTAATTTTTGTATATAGTGTAAGGAAGGGGTCCAGTTTCAGCTTTTGGCATATGGCTAGCCAGTTTTTCCAACACCATTTATTAAATAGGGAATCCTTTCCCCATTGCTTGTTTTTGTCAGGTTTGTCGAAGATCAGATGGTTGTAGATGTGTGGCATTACTTCCCAGGCCTCTGTTCTCTTCCATTGGTCTATATCTCTGTTTTGGTA